ATTGCTCTTAATATCACTTGACAGGGCCTGAAAGATGAATGATCATTGAGAAGAATCCTATTTTACCACAGAATGTTTCATTTTTGAAGTCATCTCTCCACACTGTCTGCTCTTAGAGACACATCACTCTAGTACCAGTCAGCCCTGCCCTCTCTTACCTGAGCAGACCACAGAGGCTGTGTTTCCATGGGCACAGGCAGGAACACCCAGGGCAGTCACAGGGCAATTCCACAGGAAGGACTCAGACCCTGAGCAGTGAAATCGGTCTCTCCAGATCTCATCTCCTCCTTCCACAAAGTATGCTCCCTTTGGGGTGGAGATGGCAACTCCACAGCCCAAATGACGGCAAACAACATTGGCATTGGCCATATTCCAGTGGGAGGCACAGAGTGTTCTCCAGCCTCCAGAGGTCTTCATCTCCACTTGACCCTCACACTGAGAGCTGCCATTTTTCACGAGCCGAATATCTGTATATCCTGGTAGAAGACAGGATTTTAGCATAATCCCACATTTTTCTTACCCCCATCACAGAGTGCATAGGGAGGTTAACATCCTGTTGTGAGTCTCACCTGAGCAGACAACTTGCACAGCCCCTTTCTGGGGACAACTTCCTCCAGGACAAGGCACTCTGGGACAGAACCAGAGGCCAGGCTCCTGTCCTTCACATTGGAACTCTTCAGCCCAGACCTGTTCACTGTCCTCTCTGAAGGGCAGGTTTCCCAGGACAGATGCAGCCTTGCCACACCCCAGCTCTGCACAGATGACCTGGGCTGTGGATAATGTGAAATTTCCATCAGATACTGGAATCCACTCTCCTCCAGAATTCACTTCCACTCGCCCAGAGCAGGGTCCATGTCCTCCAACCAGATGCACAAATCCTATGGTAGTAAAATCAAACAACAACAAGTGTCAGGGAATAGAATTACAAAGCTAAAAGTCACAGGTAATGCTGGGAAATCTTTTCATTTTCCAGGGTTCTGGCATGGAGAAAGGATTCAACAGATGGTGCCAGAATGTGAATTCTCAATGCAGTTGTATGAAGATAAATTTTGGAGAAGGAATTTGTAAGGTCTGTTCTAAATTGATGATTCAAGAAAGGAATGTAAACACTTCCTCACACACATACATATACATACATGTATATGTGTGTGTCCAAGAAATGAATATATATATATATATATTTTTGTGTAATATATGTAGTTTTTATATGGGCAAATTATTGTTCATATTATAAAGATATCTGTGTTTTTGTATAACTTTCTTTGTCAGTCTATCTCCTTTTTTTATAGTATCCATAACTATCCAGTGAATATGATCTCAGTGTAGAAAAAAGCTAGTATTAATTTTTCACTATTTTATGTCCTCAAACTCTCAATTCACAGATACTAATTCCAAATAAGATAACATTTGTTAATGAATCAAAAAATTCAGTATGTATAAAAACTGATAATTTACACTTATTTTCCACTTGGGATCAGAAAAGAGCCTACTAAACAGTGTGAAGCTGAGATAGAAACCAAGTTATTGTGACTAAAATAATCAGACTTCTTTACATTATTTTTCCCATTACAGAAGACAGAAAGATAATTTAAAAGAATGAACAGAAGTTATCCAGAGTTTTGAGCTTGAGCACATTATTTATTTTATTTTTTTTTGGTTTTGTGTTGTTTTTTAGGGATTTTTTTCTAATAAACAGAGTTTGAAAAATCCATTATACATCTATTGAAGCTGATAAGGAAGTAATTTCAAGTATGGTTTCAGACATTTGGGGAAGTATTTGGTTACAGTATTTGGTAAAATTGTAATATAATAGTAATTTTATGTAGTAAAGAAGTTCAGCAAGACATACTTTCTCAAGAGAATAGCATATTCATTATCTTTTCCCCCCAAGTAAACTATCAAAGTACAATGAACATCAAAAGCATCAATCTAACTTATTAAAATTGTTATTTAAAACATTAAAATTGGAATACTCCCTTTTTTCTCTGAACCTGATGTATTAATATAAAGTGTGGATTCCTGAAGTATTACTACAATGGTAATTTTAATTTATATCATTATTATAGAGCAGTAATGACAATGTACATTATAGCATCAAAATGCAGATACACAAATTCCAAACTGAAATCACTAATCTTTAGGAGGTTATGTTTTAAAGAGTGTGAGACCTGCAGGTACATCATAAAATCAGCCATCAATATGGTTGTCCAGTGACAGAAACAACAAAGATCAGCCTCCAGAACAGAAACCTGGCTGGCTGAAGGCTCTTCCTGTGGATGCACCAGGTCTCCTTCTCTGTGAACTCTGGTTTCCACTCAGTTCCACCTTCACATTAAAGCTCAACACAAGTACCACCAGAGAGGGCCACCAGGTTTGAATGACTAATTACAGATTCATCTTAGAGAGAAACACAAACTTGCCTGCAGTGTCACTATTTCTTTTTCTTTTTTTTCATTGTATTTGACACATTTCTAGCATCCAAGAGTTAGACTGCCTCAGTTGAGTTAGAATAACATTACATCCAAGTTCTATCTGAGAGAATACAAGGGATATCTGAATACAGTGTCCTCCAATTTAAATGTTATGAGGGTACCTTTGTCTTAGGCACTGAGTTCTATTGCAATATCAAACATTTGCAGAAACTTTTGTATAATTCCCATTAATAAAAATTGGAAGCACTTCACATAAAGAAATAGATCACCCAATGCAGGTTTCACCTTCCCTCTTCTAGTCTCACAGTTCCGATAAACTAATCCAGCTATAGCCTGAGAGGGTGAAGAGGAAAATTCATACAACACATGTATTCAGATGATCAACTGAGCACCTGTCATTGTACTGAACAGATCCTGAGGAGTTCAGAGGGCAGTATTATTGCAAATTCAACAATACATTTATTACTTTAAATCTTTAAGGTTTGACATCTACATTTTGAACACGAGAACAAATTCTGCATTTTGTGTTATAAATCAGAAGGGATAGAGACATACTCATACTTCAGTCCCAAAGGAGAATGCATCAAAGCCCACAACAACCAATTAAGGAAAATGGTCCTGCTCTGTGGCCTAAGGAATTTGGAGGATTGTCATTAAAAAGAACTGAATGTGCAGAGTATGTTTGGTACATGGCAGCAAATAGACTCTTTTTGTGGCTTCTCTAATAGGGAAAGACAGATAGGCAGTTCACAGGCAATGTCTGGGTGTTGGTTGCTTCCTGTATAAATAAATAAGGTACTGTGATATTTATCCTAAATTCATTCTCAATCTCAATTTCCCTTCCTAAATTTGTCTATCTGAATTCTCCAGTACCCTAAATACCTCAACATAATGGCCTTTTTCATGGCTAAGTTTAAAGCTCCATAGTGATAAATGCTGTTGACAGTGTTAACAAAGTGTTAAAAAGTTATTAAAAATGATATACTATTGAAGATACTCATGTGCTTATGTCCTTATGTCTTGACAGAGAAGAAAGAACCTGGGGAGAGTAAGTGACTTGTTAGAGGTTAGAGATATGGAGTCATCCAGATCTTTCCACTAGGACCTCATTTATGCCTCTCAAGGATAGCTCCTCTTGATTCAGCTCCCTCCCTTTTTGAATCCCCTCCCCATGTCCTCAAGAGCCCTTGCTGTTGAGGATATAGTGTGTGCCTTTATCCTTAGTGCCTCATCTCTACTCTTATTTCACAGAGGTGAACTTCACTTTACAAACTGAGTTTGTTTGCAAAAACCACTTCAGTCAAGTCCTAGGAGGGTTTGAAGAAACCTGGTCTTCAGGAAACTATTCTTTCTGTACCTGTGCCAGGTCCCGAGAAACCCCCAATTCTCCACATTCCAGCTTTTACAAAACTAGGGCTCTTTCATCTTGTGGAAATGGCCTCTCTCACTTCCCATCATTATTAGAACTTTTGGGCTGGGTACATGGAGAATGGTCACTGGAGGCCCAGAAATGGGAAAAAATGCCTGTGATTAGGAAAGGATAAAATGGGGCAGATGGGTCTTCAAAGAAGACATAATCTAAATTTTCCACCCTAGCCTGATATAGGAGAGAAGAAGTAGAAGAGAATATTCAGAGTCTGCTTCCTTGTTTTCTAATTCAAAATACTAATGTCTTTTCAGAATTTGCCATGTTCCAGAAATGTTATTAGGTGCTGGGTATATGTATTTCAAGGAAATAATGCAGACAAAAACAAACAATTTCAAGCCATTTGAAGTTTATGAGAGGTCTGGCTAGATAAAGAAAGAAAAATTGCATCTGCAGAGGTCCACTGATTCATAGGACTCATTCTCACTAGAGTAAATAAATTCAAACTTGCAGTTAGATATATCCTTGTCTGATTCTTTGCTTCAAGGACACATTGCTTCCTTGGGCAAGTTTCAAGTTTCTAACCTCAATATCTCAACATTGAGTCAATCTTACAAATTATTCCTCTTTTACACAGCAAGGGTATACAGAATTCACACAGATATACACAGAGTCAATATCATACACCACTATCTTTTGTGCTATTCAGATAATCCTTATGTGCTCTTTGTCAACCCTCCAATGCCATCTCCCAGGCACTGGAAACTCATCTATCTTCCTCAAAAAGTTGTTTTTTGTTCAGTTGTCCTTATTATTATCAATTTTACCTCTCAATGCACTTCTCTTGTATTACTGAATCCATCATATATAAACTATATAACCTTCCCCCATATCTTTTCACCTGTATCATTTTCCTTCTTTTTTCATTTAAATTAAATTTATCTCAATTTGATACTCAAAACATAAATATTATACCTATTAATGGAGTAAATAGATTTCTTGATGTATGTGCACATTGTGTTATCTTTTCATTTCCTTCTGTGACAATTTCCAATGTTATCTTTTGGCTTTTTGAAATAAAGCTTATTACTGTTATCTATAGTCTTCCTACTGTGCAATAGTGCACCAGAACTTCTTGTTCCTATCTAAGTAAAGGCTATTACTAATTGATCAATCGAAAGCTTTCCATTTCTAACCCCTACGCGTTCCAGCTTATGGTAATCACAATTCTAGTCTAATGTTCTGAACTTTTATGAGGTCAACTCTTTCACATTCAATGTATAGTGAGATTAGAAGACCCTTGTCCTTCTTTGCCTGACTAATTTCATTTAACCTAATGATCTTCAGGCCATGCATGCTGCAGCAAATGAAAATATTTTATTCCTTTTTATTTTTTACTTTTTTTGGATGAAGAGTATTCCATTATGTAAATGTACTTCATTGTATCCATGTATTAGATGATGGACACTTACATTGTTTCCCTTTCCTAGCTACTGTTAGTAGCACTGCCATAAACATGGGAGTACAGATGTCTTTTCAACATCCTGATTTCATTTCCTTTGGATATATGCTCAGCAGTGAATTGCTGCATTATATGTTAACTTTATGTGGAGCTGTCTGAAAATGTCTTTGTATTTTTCTGTAAAGGACAGTTTTGCCATGTTCTGTATTTTTGATTGGCAGATTTATTCTTCGGTTCTATGAAAATTTCATGACACTCACTTCAGGTCTACATGTTTCCTGTTGAGAAGTTCACTGTCAAGTAAGTTAGGACACCCTTATGTGTTGTTTATTTCTTTTGATTGCTTGAGACTCTTTATCCTTCATCTTTGAGAGCTTATTATAATATGTAAAGATCCCAAGTCTCCAGGTCAAATCTGGGTGCCCAACTAAATTTCACCCCCAAACACACTTTCCATAGTGTGCTGCTTGGGGCTTTGGGAAGCAATGAGGAGGGTGGTCCTGTGGCCACCAACACTGCAATGCTGTCACACACTGAGACCACAGCCTGCCAAGGCAACACAGAACTGGGGAGGGACCAAGGCCCTTAATGCTATGAGCTGCCTACTGTTGAAGTGGACTGATGGACCAAGACTCTTGCAACCAACCACGGGTTCTTCTTGAGTCTGTCCCATCAGCACACAGCTCTTGCTCTATGAGTTCTGTGACAACTTTGAGGTCTCTAATTCCTACTGAGTGCTGAGTATCACCATGGTGGACCTGGCATTGTGATCTAAGACAAAATCCTATTTCTGTTTTTGCATCTTGCTTCTTAGCAAGTGGAGACTTGATTTTTTATTGTTGTTAAGATAGGTTGGAGGAGCATTGGTGGAGACAGTCTCTCTGCTGTCTAATTAAACACAGTTCCAGAGTCTCAGTCTGAGTTTATTGGCATGGGGGATGAGGCGTGTTGTGCTCTACGGGGTATCTTCCTAGTACTGAGTTACACATCTAAGGCTTGGACTTAATTACCTTTCCATTCCCAAAGAAGGAGGCATTGTCCTTCACGTTGGGACACTTACATTGTTTTCCTTGAATTATGGGAAAGGGCAACATTTCCTCTTTCCTTTATTGTGTCTTTTTTTTAATTATCATAAAAGCAGGCACTCACTTGTTTCTTTTCTTTTCATACACCTGGTTTATTTTCTCCTATCAAGCCATTTGTTCTGTGAAAAGTTTTATGTGGTGTATTTGTGGGAGATCACTTAATAACCATCTTGATCTAAGTCCTAAACTACATAATCTCTTACCATAAAAAACATGCATTAATATTTTATTGCTTTCAACATTGATCTGGGAGCACAGTGTTAAATTCACCTCCCAATATGAGTTTGTACAGAAATTGCTTGAAACAGAAATGTAGAGACAATCTACTGTAGTACTGATAGAAGGAAAAATTGTGACTCCCAACATTTCACTCACAGTTCTCTGGCCCTTCCTACCAATGAACTAAGAATTCTGATGTTTGAATCTGGAAAGGAGAATTGCAACTTTCCAGTAGCATATAAATTCCCTTGTGATGTGTTTAATCCCTGTGCCCATATACCTACTAAGCCAATGCAAAAATATCTCTGACTCTACGTTACAAACACTCAGTTCAACTGAGGAAAGTAGGGCCTCATGATCATTTGTCCTTTGAAAATTTCTGCAAACAGAGTCTGTGTGCTAACCTGTGTGCTAATCCTAAAAATAGTAAATTAGAGGAATAAAATTATAAAGATTGATTTTATATTGAAATACTCTACAAAAAATATCTTGTCAAATAAGAGAGTTGAGAAGGGAAAGGACACTATTAGAGATTTACAAGACAGTAATAGATGAAGCCCATCATTCATTGTTATCCCTGAATCTACTGATTGAGGAGGGACCTCCTACTCCTCTCTGGACAATTAATCTTATTCCCCCAGGGATCAGACACTACATCCTGGAACTTTACTTTCTCTTAGGTAGTGGAGAATGCATTGACAATACCTGAGCAGATGACGCCTGCATCATCATAGGGCTCACATTTGTTCTTTCCCCAGCCCAGGGAAGGGCAATTCCACAAGTAGGCCTCCTCTCCTGTGCATGCCAGCTGTGTCAGCCAGATGGGCCTTGATCCCTCTTCAACTTGTGCATAGAGCCAGGCATTGAAGGCCTCTCCACAGCCCATTTGTCTGCATATCACTTGAGAATCTTTCAGGTCCCAGCTGTCACCACAGACAGTACCCCAGGAATGCTGGTGAAGGATCTCCACTTTGCCTGCACATCGACTGCCCCCGTCCACCAGGCGGAGCTGTGGGCTCTCTGAGGAGAAAGAATCATGTCAATGATTGTATTTACAAAGAGAATGAGAAATGTTCTCTTATCAAGTGGTACTTTCTCTCCCACCCAAGTAGTTGGCAGAATTACTTTCAGAATGCAGAATGTGCTGTTAAGACATTCATTGTACTATGGTAGCAGCTAAGTCTCAGTTTCTACCATAACATATTGGAGAATTAATTTAAAAAAAAATAAGAAATGGAATTGATCACAACATAATCAAGTGAGCAGTCTTAGGCAGAAGTTATTATGTAGATATGATCAGAGTAAAACTTGTTATTGGTAGATTTCTGCATATCATGTGAAAAAACAATTGGAGAAATGCCAAGATTCCTACTTTAAGTAGCTCAATGTGTTTTTTTCTGAGTGGTTTCTAAGAGTTACTGTAATGGGCCATTATCTGAATTCATTTCTTATAAGCACATACTCCTCAGTGCCCATGACCTGAGATTTGGAAGGATGAGAGCACAGGGGATGGAGTAGGAAACAGAGATAAGATCATCAGGTGTTTCAGCTGACAGCCATGAATCCAGGAAAAAAATGCAATTAGATAGACATTAAGACTGAAAAATGAATGGATCATAAGACAAATCAGAGTTAATGCAATATATTTTACTAATGAGTCTAGGCTTCATAGTTCAAATATGGATATTTAATTTTAAATTTATGTTTATTATAGGTATATTGGGCAACCTCCCCAAATAGATGATGTCAGATAGTGACATTGCCCAAATGCCACTAGGAATCATAGAATGTTACTTTCCCCCCAAATATATCTAATCTGTGCTTCAACTTCCTGCCAGGAGTTCTTGATGAGGAGGCAAATGGCAGAATAGAAGTACCCTTTTTGTGATTCTGTGAGTGACAAGAGTCAGGGAACACAGGGGAAACTGTATTCTGAGAAGAGAAAGAGGAAGAAAATTGGGTACCAGTAAAGAAACGACAAACCCAGAGAAAAGTACAAGGTAATTTATAACTTCAACTCTAACTATCTTACCTATGGGAGAAACACATGGTTCTTACAAGCTTTAGATCAAGTTTGGAGTGTTGTTCTGAGAGGGACTCTTCTCGCACAAAAGAGAGTTTTAGAGAAAAAACTGATCACATTGCTCAGCAAGCTCTCCGAGTGCTGTGAGTGGGGGTCATCTTGAGAAGGTACCCATTGTACGGGCTAAACTGTGCTGGGATTATAAGATATAGGTTTAGTCATAATTCAACATCTCTGGGTCACCCCTCCACAGTGACTGGGTGGAAGAGTGACCACCTACATTCTCAGATAGGAAGAGTGACTGCCAGAAACACACTGAGATAGTGGCAGAGGAGGGACTAAAGTTCTCATTGATATGTGATCCTTCTTTATATGAAGAGGAGTGATTCTAGTCTCATATGGTTGCACACACGGGCCATGTTTGAGAGCTCAGAGACCACACCTAGCAATTCACCACATTTTGTGCCCCATCTCTAGGGTGGAGCTTAAGTGGTTTGATTGCTTATACCACTTTTTACAGGTGTTCCAAGGATTCACCAAGACTAGGACACTTGGCATGCCCCATGGGCATGAGATCTCTAGAGCAATTGTGTGCCCACAGTTGGGTCCACAAACTCCTGAAGGAAGGGCTTATGGTGACTTTGACTTCTGCTATGCCCCCACATTTGCAAACAGAACCCCTTCAGCATGATTATGGCCTGCACCATCAACATTCCTTAACCTCCATGCAGGAAATGAGGAGCTAAATGAGCAGGCATATCAGACCATATCCTAGCTTTTTTGATGGAAATTCAAAAGAATGACAACTGGTTTCTTTTTTAGCCTATTAAACCCACATACTTGGTGGATTCAAATGTTAAATGACAGGTAAGAGTTCTCTGCCTGCCAGTATTTTGTCTGGGAAGAATTTTTGATGTACATTTTTCTTTTTTAATATTACATTTTTATATTTTCCTTACTATTACATATTTAATGCATTTTAAAATTCTTTAAATGGATTTTTCTCTTTTTTTCTCATATTTTCTTTATATAAAATAGATATCTTCTTATATTTATATCCCCTTTATTCTTCTAAAGAGAAGGTATTTTCTTCTGTAGCCTTCCTTTTCGAATTAATTTTTCCTTATTAATTTACTTTATTGTTCTTTTTGTATTTATTCTTTCCTTTATCTATTGCTTTTTAACTTGTTATTAAGTTTAAATGATTATTACTGAATTTTTATAGTACTTTTTAGTAATAGTAATTTTTATAGTACAAATACACAGGTCACCTGTACACGTGATATGAGCTTCCTCATTTGAAGGGCAAGATTGGTGTTTCCAGGGCTCAGAAGGACACTGCCAGAGAGAGGTATCAGTTTCCCGACAGCGAATTCCATCCACCCAGCGGGGTCTAGAACCTTCCCTGGAAGGAACCAAGAAATCCAGGGTCCCACTGTCCCCACAGCCAAGCTGTCTGCAGATCACGGACAAGGTCACAGCTTCCATGGGGCTGTGGCAGACACTGCCCCAGGTGTTGTTGTAGAAAACCTCCAGCCACCCAGCACACTCCTGGTCCTTGCTCACCAGCCTGAGGGCCAGGAATTCTGAAAGCAAGAGGAGGAAAACAGGGCACAGTAAGCATTCAACTCTTACTGCTGTGTTTTTTTTTTTAATATTTATTTTTTAGTTCTCAGCGGACACAACATCCTTTTTTGTATGTGGTAAATTTTATTATTCCTAAGTAGTGAATGCTCCTTGCTGACTGTCCTGAGGAAGTGCCCACTAGGTGGAAGACTGAAAATTTTTTTGTCCCTCTAACCTGTTTTGCTAACTTGTACCTCTCTTTCTGTTTCTATAACAATGTCATATTAGCAAATGAATAGGCAGGAATACTGATTTGGGGGCTTTCCAGGAAGTAAACTCTTTATCTACTATCTGATCATCCATCTGACAGACCCTAGAAGAGCAGGGTGGGAGAGAGGGTGGCAGAATTGTGGAGATCCAAATATGTCCACTCCCTGATCCTCAGAGCCTGTGAATATTTTACCTCATTGCAAAAGAGCTTTTCAGACAGATTTAAAGAAATCCTTTTATGGATCATTCTGGATCTTCCTGGATTAATAGGTGAGCACAATCTAATTATATCCTTTGACCTGTATGGTCAAAAGCAGATAATTCTTTCTGAAAATGTGAACATGGAATAATGGTCAGAATGTTGCAATGCTATTGTATTGAAGAGGAAAGGGGCCATGATACAAGGAATTCAGACAACTTATAGAAGCTGAAAAAGGCTAGATTGGAGTCTTCCCAGAGCTTCAGCTGCTATAGCCTGCTGACACCTTATTTATAGCCCAGACAGACCCAGGTCAAAATTCTAACCTACACACTGTAAGACGATAAATTTGTGTTGTTTTGACCACTCAGTCTATGGTAACTTGTTACAGCAGGAATATAAAACTAATTCAGTGGGTCAGGATGTTGCTCCCACATGTCACAGAAGAATGATGACTGCTTTAAATGAACACTGTAGAGAATGACTGTGTCAGGGGACAGTGCTGAGAAGGAAGGAGCAGAAGCTCAGTTGCTGCAGCAGTAAATGAAAGCACCTTATTTTCTCTGCTGGAAGAACAGGAACTGTCCTTCCCTTTCTTCTGTACTCATCCCTGTCCTAGGGCTCAGACACCATCCTGTAGACCTTGGGGAGAGGTGCATGGAGTACTCCATACATGGCATACATTAAGGGCATCTGAGTGGCAGGCCATTCCCCTCATGCTAGGCGTGTGAGTGGCAGGCCGCTTACCCCATAGGCATAGCACTGGGTGTGGGGCCATGTGTTGCAGTCCCTGTGCTTGCTCCATGGCCCACTCCTCAATTGGTCATTGCAATGACAGCAGAAATTGCATTGGTAGCTGCCAGTAATCTGTTTAGCTACTGCCTGGATATATACAAATAAAAATATATTTAATTTATATATATTTACTGCCTAAATATATATAAATTAAATATATATAAATGTGCAATATAAGCAGACCTGCTTCCTGCTTGGTCTCAGGAGGTCTTGATTAGCGACTCCGCAGCCACACTTTCCTCTACCCTGTTCCGTGGATCTCCTCACTGGACGAGAAAGAGCTCATGCACAGACCCTCTCTTGCCCTCCCAGCCTATGCACAGTGTGTGGAGCAGACCTGAGCAGATGACCCCAGCATCATCCTTGTGACTGCAGTTGTGCTGCCCCCAGCCCTGGGAAGGGCACTGCCACACATGAGTCTCCTCTCCTGTGCAGTTCACTTCATCCAGCCAGATGGGCCCTGATCCCTCTCCAAAGTGAGCAGAGATGGTGGCCTCCAGGGCCACTCCACAGCCCAGCTGTCTGCACACCACGTGGGCATCACTCAGGTCCCAGCTGTCATCACAGATGGAGCCCCAGGAACCCTGCTGCAGGATCTCCACTCTCCCTGCACAGGGACTGCCCCCGTCCACCAGGCGGAGCTGTCTGCTGTCTGAGAGACAGGGTCATGTCAGTGGGCAGTTATACAGTGATTGGGAAGGCTCTGGTGCTGGGGTCTTTGCTCACCTGAGCAGTTGGCAGTGTGGCCCTCTGAGGCTGCAGAGCCTGCTGGGTCAGACCAGGAGTCATTGCACTGGAGCAGCAGCTGGGTCTGGTTTCCTACCAAAAGGTTTAGAGAAAAGGAAACTGAATTAAACTAGACAATAACCTAGTGATGATATCTCAAAACTAAAGCCCACTATTAGTTATTTTCTATCTCCAGAGCTCATCTTCTATTTAAGATTTCTGCTGTGGCTTTTGACACACTCTTTTTTTTTTTTTTAAATCAAGTACCAGGAATGACTATAGAAAGTGTGAATATATTAGTGCTGCTTAAGAGCATTGCATATCTCCCAGGGAAGAAAGACTTTTTGGAATCTAGTTCAGGGAAAAGTAAAAACTAACATCAGTTATTTTGTCCTGGAGGTATTTGACCATTCAAAGATAGTAGTTGAGACTCTGAAAAATCTCAGCATATTTGCCACATTTTCCTGTGAGTATACTAGTAAAAATTAGGGTAGACCAAAGAGGAGAATCCTTTTAAACATTCAGAAAACTTGTATCATATTTTGTGAACTAAAAGATTTTTTTGTCATAGGAATGAGTGCCCAATAACTCACCATTTCACTTTTCTTTGTATAATGTGATCTACCCTAAATAAAGTGAATTGAAAAAGCAAAATAAAATCATTTCTGAATGTTTTGTAGGAAGAAATATTTTTCAAATACAATGTTTGTCAAGAAAAAAAAACCAAAAACAACCACAATTATAAAAGCGTTTAGGAAGAAAATGAAGTGAACAAAGGAGAAAAAAAGGAAAGATTTTCAGAGGGTGGTCCTGGTGAATTACCTTATAGGTAATTAAAATAATCACAATTACATTTTGTAAATTAAATGACATGATGGGAAGGCTGGGGTATAGTTCAGTTTGTAGAGCACTTGCCTTGCATGCACAAGGCTCTGGGTTCAATCCCCAGCACCACATACACACACACACACACACACACACACACACACACACACACACACAAAGAATCAATAAATGACATGATGGGAATTTTGGTAGAGAAATGATCACAAAAATCCAACAAATATTTGAGAGTTAATATTATTAAAAAGAACCAATAAAAAGTCAGTAGCTAAAAATGAGAAACCAGAGGATAAGTGTAACAATAATGTAGATCAGTACAAAATATAAATAGTAAGTGGGAAAATACAGAGTGAAGAACAGAAAGACAAAAACATAGGAAATATAATAGGAAATGAAGAGACATGGTGAGAGAACATAACATTCCTATATACTCTACAAGTTTTAGGTATTAAGGCCATTAGTGGTAGTGCAAAAGTATAAATTAGAAAATACACAAAGTGAGATATTTAACACACCTGTCATTTTAAAAAATACCCACAGTATCTGTGACACTCTATCTATTGATCTATGCAGTCCATTTCTCCTTCCCTCCAATCTGGGCTGACAGGAGTGAGTTGTCTATATACAACAGAATGTGGTGAAGCCAGCACAGCTTGACTTAAGAACCTTGCTAAGAAAGTCATGCCTCCTCCTCTTCACTTAGTAGTATGTTTGCTTTATGGGAAATCTACTCTGTAGAGACTATCATGTGGGAGAGAGCATTTGCAGGTGGTTCTGTCAGCAACCCCAGGTGAACTTCAAGCTACTAGCCATGTGAATGAACTGTCCTGGATTCCCATCTTGGTCAAGTCTACAATGACCTCAGCTCCAGATGAGATCCAAGTGCAACCTCATGAGACCACAAATGCAACTGCCAAGAGCCCTTGCCAAATTTGTGAATCTGGAAATCATGGGCAAAATAAAATGAATTCTTTATTGGTGTCACTATTTTTTTTTGGTGGGGGGCAGGAATGGATTAAAAAGCAATAGCAACCAGGACAATTACATTTACTCTGAAACAGTAATCGTATATTCCCATGTTTACTGTGGCACTATTCACAATAGCTACTATATGGAATCAGGTGCCCATTGAAAGACAAATTCATGAAGCAAATGTGGTATAAATACAGTCATAAACAAAATGGAGTCCTGCCTTTTGCATCAAATGGTAGGAACTGTAGGACATCATGTTAAGTTCAATAACCCAGACACAGAAAGAAAAGTACTACAAGTTCTCCATTATATGTGGAAGCCAACAAGTTTACTTTATGGAATTTGGCAATGACACTGTGATTATGTAAGAAAATCTTTTTTTTAAACTTATTTATTTTTATTAGTTACACATGACAATACAATGATCTTGACATATCATACATGTAAGAAAATCTTGAAAATATGTGAAGACTGAGGGGACATATCACCTTATCCACTTACTCTTAACTAACCACTAAAAATATTTTATATATTCAGGGATAAATATGGCATAATTATAGGATAATACAGAAAAATAATAGTATTGAGAAATATGTGTTAGGTTACTTGGGAATTTTATACTATCTTTGAAGCTTATTCAGATTTCTAAAATTATCAAACAATAAAAAAATTTAAAAAACAGAAAGAGAAAGAAGAAAAACAAAGCCATAAAAAAGCGAAGCTGAAAACTAGTAGTTATATTTTAGATACTGGGTGTCCTCCAAAAGCTCATGTGTGAGACAATGCAAGAAAGTTTAAAAATTAAATGATCAGAGTATATGAGCCTTAACCTAATCAGCACATTAATCCTCTGATAATATTAACTGAGTGCTGACTATAAGCAGGTAGGGTGTGGCTGGATTAGGTAGGTGCCTGGTGGTCTGTCTTTGGGGTTTATATATTGTCCTTGTTGAGCAGAGTTCTCCCTATTTCTGCTTCTTGGTGGCCATATCTTGACCTGCCTTCTCCTGCTACACTCTTCCACCATGATATTCTGTTTTACCTCGAGGCCCAGGGAATGAAGTCAGCTATCTAAATACTGAGACCTCTGAAGCCATGAACTTCAAAATAAAACTTTTCTCTGAAAGTTGTTCTTCTCAGGCCTTTTTGTCACAGCAGCTAAAAAGCTGACAAAACACTAGTAGAATTAATTCCTAGGACATTTCACTAAAAGAAACACTAAACCATCATAAACATAAAATACCAAGAATACACCTAGTAAAAGTTATGTATAATCTCTGAGAGAAACTAGAGATATACATTATAAGTTAATTAGCTCCATATTGATGTTTGGGTCAAATCAAAACTCAGTCTAAAGACCATGATGTTTTTATTGTATTAAATATATCAAGTCGTTTATAAAATTTATGTAAAATGCACAATACTGAGTATGACCAATGCACCGGGCAGGAAAAACAACACAATTAGAACAGTACTCTTTAAAAATGTTAATCAGACTGCTGTAAAGTTATAATAATTAAGGAGGCATGCATGGCTACAAGCATAGAAAATGACAGAATGGAACAAAACAGAGTATAGAGCAAAAATCAGAAATATCTGCACCCTGAGTATTTCAATGGTGGACCACAGTGGGGAAAGGGCTTTTCAGTAATGATTCTGAGTCAATTGGATGTCCAAACAATAATGTGAGACTATATTCACACCACACACCCCATATGTACAATACCAACCCCAGAAACATTATGCAATTATATGTAAAAGAAAAGTAATTAAACATGTATAAGACCCTCTTGGAGAATATTTTTATGATCTTATGATAGCACGGTTCTATTTAAAATGACAATAGATGAATGGATAAAAATGTGGCATATATACACAATGGAATTTTACTCAGCAATAAAAGAGAATAAAATCATGGTATTTGCAGGTAAATGGATGGCGTTGGAGAAGATAATGCTAAGTGAAGTTAGCCAATCCCCGCCCCCCCTAAAAAATGCCGAATATTTTCTCTGTATAAGGAGGCTGACCCATAGTGGAGTAGGGAGGGGGACATGAGAGGAATATATGAATTCTAGATAGGGAAGAGTGGAGAGAGGGAAAGGCAGGAGGCAGGGGATTAGCTAGGATGGTGAAATGTGATGGACATTATTATCCAAAGTGCATGTACGAAGACATGAACTGGGTGTCAACATAATTTGTATATGAACAGAGATATGAAAAATTGTGGTATATATGTGTAATAAGAATTATAATACAAAAAAGTACATGTATAAAGACATGAGTTGGTGTGAACATACTTTATATACAAAGATATAAAGAATTGTGCTCTAAATGTGTAATAAGAATTGTAATGCATTCCACTGCTGTCGTGTATTTAAAAAAATAAATTCAATAAAAGATAAAAAAGAATTGTAATACATTCTGCTGTCATGTATTTAAAAAAATAAAATCAATTAAAAAATGAAAACAGAGGGGTTGAGGCTGTAGCCTAGTGGCAGAGCCCTTGTCTAAGAGTGTCTGAGGAACTGGCTTCAATCTTTAGCACCACACAATAAAAAATTAAAAAATAAAATATAGGCAATATGTCCATTTACAACAAAAAAATTAAAAATGGACATTAGAACACTAAGTGTACAGGGAATATTGACATTCCGTGTTTCACTGAGAACAAGAATTTGACTCCAAAAATAGAATCCATATTAAGGGAGGAAAACTAAAAGGACAAGGATTAAAAATCATATACAAATATATCCATATTTGCACTAAAAGATACTGACATGATAATTTGTAGGATCATTATTTGGATACTCAAAAAATGCAAACAACTCAAACCTCTACCTCATTTGAATAGATCAACACATGATTCTGTGGTTATTTGGCAGAAAACTCTACAGCAATAAAAATAAATGAAG